CTCTAAGAGTTGAAGTTAAGGTTATGAATTCAGGAAGTGGTGCGGAGGAAGAATTTTCGCATGAAGTAAGGAATCTCCTTATGTCCTATATGACGATCTGTACCATTTCCAGCGTCTATTAATATTAACGTTCAATTTCCCGTCCTGCTTTGTTGCGATAATCTAGTTACGAACAGTTCATGCAGATTTCTTTTCAACTTACAGGAAGAGCACCACAGGAAAACGCTTGCGACTTTTGGGCGTATCTCGTCAAGAATCTACCGGAAATCTCGTGTTGGTAGCCGAGAAATTTTGCGGTACTTGTGGTGGTCTGTTTCTTAGTGATGGTCCATGGTGCGACAAGTGTAACATTAAACAATTGATGGAAGGATGGACTACAGGAGATGACGCGTATTACATAAATTTAAAAGTGGCACGTAGTCCTTTAATATTAAACTGACATGATACTCAATTGCGAGTTGTCTAAACCATTATTGTTCAGCGTTCCGAAATGGGGATATATGCTATTTTAACAAAAAAAAATAAAAAATTGGACTGTAGGTTTAAATTCGAAATATACAACTTACCCTAGTCAATTTATTTTTCTGAAATATATTGTCGACAATTATTCGCTCGACAATAGTCACCAACACTATTTCGAAGTCATCCTTTTTTGGTGGTTAATTGTCGGGCAAGTGTACGAATGCCAAAATGGGCAACTCTTAAGAATCTGCCTCAGCTATGCTTTCGCGTTTTTTTGTGCGTTACCCTCCCTGAACTTCATAGGAAGTCTTAGCTTTCCATCGCTCTAAATTTTCTTAATTGAGACATTCGCAATTTTGCCTGTAAAAGAAGAACATGCGTATCTACATCAGATTCATCATTAATGAAAATAGAAGTTCTGAAAATAAAGAAATCGATTTTCCCCCCCTCAACCGTAAGATTGAGATTTGAATAAAGGTTAAGTCTCAAGTGTGTAGGTTGATTTCCTCCATCAAGTGATACGTTAAATTCCTTTAATTATAGTTAGCATGAAATGACTATTTCCGCCCTGGTGGTTATGCCTCTGCATTGCCGTATTTTTCACGTTCTTTGTTCCGTCCTGACCAACTGTATTTAATCAGATAATAAAACAAACAGCACTGATTGCATATCTTCCCTCTTGACCTTGTTGCCACCCCGGTCATTACAGCGACAGGTACCGAGTTTCTCTTGCTGGAACCTCATCAGGATTGAAGTACGTCTTGTTAAAGACGAGATCTATCAACCATAGGTTCTGGAACCTCGTCAGAATTGAACTATCCCTTGTTAAAACAAGAGATCCCATCAACCATAGGCACCTGCGATTACTGACGTATATGTAACTTTTGGCGCTGTGGACGGCAGGGGAACCTTGTAGCGACGGTTGCCGAGTTTCTCTTGCTGGAACCTCGTCAGGATTGAAGTATTCCTTGTTAAAAACAAGAGATCTTTATCGACAACGGGTTCTGGAACCTCGTCAGAATTGAAGTAGCCTTTGTTAAAAACAAGAGACCCCATCAACCATAGGCACCCGCGATTACTGACGGTATGTAACTTTTAACACTACAGTGTCACTGGCAACTAGAGTATACAAACTATCGCGAGGAATACTAACACGCGCATTTTCTGCTCATGTGACATTACACTTTGGTCACATGACTAGTCACAGATGTGTATGCGCACGCGTCATTTCCCGCTACTACATTCTCCTCATGCAGTATTTTGATGAAACACCAACCTCGGCCTGGTCCCTTCGAGGATATGTCGACTATTTCCGCACAAACAATGGGATCTCTAGCTCACGGCAATTTATTCACAACAACTATAATAACGCATTAAAACATATTTCGACATCTGGCGTAGTCAACGAACGCAAGCGTGCATTATCACTACTCTCGTCATTCAAACAAGATAAATTGTCAATGAAGAGTTTTTGGGAAAAGGAAGAACATTTTATGATCATGACTAGTTTCAGCAGGCGCGAGAAGCGTGCATTAGCAGAGGTTGATACAGTAGAAGTAGAAGAACAACTTGAAGAGAGAAGAAAGAAAAGTAGAGGTTTTTCAGGGGGCGGACAACAAGAAGATAATAAGATCTCACAAGAGCACGATAAAGAGTATGACGAAGAGGTTTGCAATAAGACATTCGCAATCGATTGATATTCTATAATCTGAATTGTTGACATCAAGCTGTTGTTTTAGGCCGATACAGAGACGATCGTTGACAATTACGATGTAAGTCCTTTCAAACAAAATACTTTGGACACTGTATGATGTGCTATATTTGCGTTAACGCACTGCACGTTATCCTATTTCACGACAGATAACAGATGAAGAAAAAGTAGAATTATGTTTCGACGCGTCTGAAATACAGACAATACAAGAGAGTACCAAAAGAATTATTGAAAGGAGCACTAATGAATTAGAGACTAAATTATTAACATGGCAACACTATATGCTTAAGAAAATAGAAAGCGGGGTGAATCGCCCAAGACAACAAAATATTCATATGCTATTAGCAGCATCATCGATATTCTATTTTCGGCGAAAAAACGAACAGGCGTATGTAGATCATTTAACCGTGAGTGAAACTTCCCAAGTTAAGTCGTTTGTGGTCCCATGTTTTGAACGGATCGAAATTCCAGATGATATAAAGTTGTTTGTGGATACAAACAAAAAGGTTTGAAATTAAATAATATGTACGATTTCGTAATATTAATGATAATCGGACATTTTTTCTGAAATATTTGTTCCTTCGTAAGAAATTTCGACGAGATGCTCTTGAAGATCTTGAAATATATGTCAGGGAATGTTCAGGCAAACAACATGGTAGTTATGTAATCAAAACGTTCTATAGACTACTTGAGGAGTATGTACTATGGGACTTTTCAGTTAATATGGAAAAATTAACTGAGGGAACTTATATTGTGGATTATTTGGGACCTATCTTTAATAAAACAATTCATTATTTTAATTATGTTACCACACATTCATGGTAAGTAATTATAAATATATTTCTAATTAAATTTTCGGCAGAAACTTATTCATAATTTTTGATAGGATCAGCGTCGAGTCTAACCCTTCCAAACTGCGTAAGAGTCCTGCTAGCGGTCGGGTTCCGGATTATATGCTTCACAATAAAGATAACACGCGTACAGCTGTTTATTTGGAAGTTACAAGTCCGAGACGTGAAAGTGATGATGTAAAAATTCATTGGGATATATACAGAGGTTCTATACATGCTAAAGATTCTGTGGATTTTGATATAAAAAAATACAATATTCAGCCATCATCTGGAAAAAAGATTATAATCTTTATAAAAGGATATAAAATGGTTGTCTGTGTGATGAAACTTCAATACCCAGGAATATATTTATTGGTTGAAGTGGCAGATTGCACAATTCCAAAATCTATTCGAGACTTAGAACATATAATGAAACTGCATCAGATTTTAATAAGTATCAGGGTAAAAAAAAGTCTCCCTTATTATTATTATGACTGTTAATTTATATTCTAATGTGGCATAATATATTATTTAGGAAAATGCGATAGATTATCTTGACGAGTCTGGGAATGTTACGCCAGATCATACAAATTACTGGAGCTGGATTAAACCAACCGCAAATACACCTTCTAAAACAAAACATCTGCCTAAACAGTAGTAAGTAACCGCAAATTTTACGATTTAGATTCGTGCTTATTCTTTAGATTGCTGGGGGGGGGGGGTTTGAATATTAATAGTTAAAAACAAACACTATGACTATTCATGTTTGGTCAATGAATTGTCTCCTTGACTATTCATGTTTGGTCAATGAATTGTCTCCTTTGTTGCTAGTCTTTTTACCTTCCCCGGGATTTGTTTGCTAGAAATACTGCCGCTAAACGTGTTTTACTATTACTTTATATTAAGTGAAATCAGCTGAATTGAGGTGATCAGGCCATAGCAAAAACAATCAAACTGGCCGTCTAACCAGTCAACGTAGAATTCTCCAAATGTTATAAGCGATCCCATGGAATCCTTCGGAGATAATACTCGTCGTAATCGCGCCCATACTCCTTGTTTTTTAACAATTTGTCATATCTCCCTCTACTGATTGTTTGTAGTCGCAATCAGCAGGGCACCAACTTGTTCTCGATATAAAGGTTTACCACAAACGTGGTATTAAAATTGTACCCCACTCATTCTGAAGCGAGACTATCAACATGGTCGACTCATATTTATAACGAACGCAATAGTCGTTTAGGTTGCTGAAACCCTGTGATTTAACAATGAATCTGCTGTTTCTGTTTTAATATTAATTATTGTGGGGTGAAAAAGTGGAAACTGTAATACGCAAGAATATAATATCAAGATGTTCTAACTTATCATACATTATCAACTATCACGTATGCGACTTTTTTGCAGGCTTCCCATCGAATTAACGAACTGGTACTTCACATTACGTCTATCGCACAAATAGTCTGTTATTCAGCGTCCTTCTCAGCCTGTTCTTCTTGTAGTAAGACATACTCTCTAGTGCTATAACCAAATTTAATTACATCTGAATGGAATAACTCTACATATCGGGAAGGCGGGATTCTGTTACTATTGACATATGTCCCGTTTGTTGTATCGAGGTCAATAATATATGGCCTGTCAACAGTTTCAATTAGATCAATTCCGTCCTATCGGATGCGTGTGCAAATAAAACAAAGCAACTCACTTGACTTGTGTATTTGTCTCTCCATAATCATCAGTGTGTGATAGCTGTCGGTATTGTAGAACTGCATGTTGTTTGGAGCATGAAGGATGATCTATCGGTATATCCGCCACCTGTAAGTCATTATACCATTAGAATGATTATATGACCCGCACGACAAAAAACCTCAAATCTTGGAAAAAAACATTTACCTTTCTATCACGTCCTAACAAATAGGCACTCTGCCGATGAACGTGAAGCAAGTCTACGAACGCAATTCAATCAATAAGACTCAGACACCCATCTAACTGAATGATCTATTCAACACTTACCAATTTGCTCTTCACCTTTAAATACATATAACCTCCATCGTCCAGTAGGCTTTCTTGCCTCTGCTGGCTCTGAGTACTTCACCACAACCCCATTAAAAGTGTTAGTATCGGCCGCAAGATTACCAGACAAGTTAAAGTTTGGTTCCACTTTGACCGGGTTATCATCTTTTGTTTGTTCACTGTCCCTCTCTCGTCGTGTATCTACTTCAGATTGTCTTCGATCCCGAGCCCGATCTCGATCTCGATCCCGATCTCGATCTCTACGGGACGAAGACCTCGGAGCAGCTCTATTACTTCTATTATTAGATATTATGTCCATAAGCGATAACGATAGTGAATAATAATAATAATAACGTTTCTTTTTAACTAACAGAAATCAACTGTGACGCCGACGCCGCACGCCATTGTTGAACGATTTAAAAATTTGTGACACAAAAATCGAACGCAAAGAGTTGCGGTGAAAATAATCAATGGATTCAATCATCGTTCTTTATTCCCCTCACCACTGTGGCCCTCTATCAATACATTATCTACTATAATTAACAACAAAATATCATTATCTATTCCCCCTCCCCCCTCTATTCATATTTAATATTACCATATAAATACCAGGCATTAGGCCAAGTTTCTTTATTGATTCAGTTTAGTATGTAGATAGCATGTGCTTTCTCATGTACTAGCTGTCTAAAAACAGCTTTAGCAGTTTTCTGTAGTTGTCAATAAAGATCCTATAAAATCGAAAATAATCAATGGAATGATGTATGTATAGCTGAACTAGTATCCCGATTCATATACGCTTCTGAATAGCAATAGCCCAATGAAGAGCCCCACTTTATTGCATTCGCTATTGCCGTGACTGCATATAGAAAAGATGAACGTGACCTACAGAAGTCGTTCAATTAATATTCAGCGTAGTTTTTTTAACTCTTTGAACTTTACAAATCCAGAGTTCAAAACTGCATCAGCCTTTATCCTAATATTAATTAACATGAATATCTTTAATAGGCAGTATATCGTTATATAATGGTGAACATAACCAATTAATGAATTGATCAGCAGCCAAGATTCAAATTGTTTAAGCATAAATTTCTTATTTATTACGAATGTGAAAATATGACAACAATAAAGCATCAGAGTGATTGCATACTCAGTCCTGAAGCAATTGGTGAGCCTGTCAAATGTAAATTTACCATTTCATTATTATTACTACTGTAATCAATAATTATAGAATTTTAATTTTAGGCCTTATCTTCCAGTGGCGCCAGCTAAAATAGTAATCGGTTAATAACTCTATCAAGATTAAGATACTGTAGTTAATGCCTGTTTTACAAATTGTTTTTCCATCAATAATGGTCCATAAATACATTTATATGAGATTCGATAATATAAAATGGCAGACTAGCAGCGTTCTTTTGCTTGTAATGGTCTCGTGTCAGACATTGTATCTAATGCGAAATCACGCCAATCCGACATTTAATTATTCCAGTACTTTAGTAACACAGATTACACGTGGAAGCGACTAAACCCATTTCTTTTACCGAATAATTCTAATGGCATATTAAACTGCGAACGTTCTTGTTTGCCAGTTTGTCGACCTGGCTTGAGATTTCCTTGGATTGCGCTAAATTGAATGCTTTGATTTATTTGATTTTTGTGATCCAAGGAAATTCAACCAACAACCTCAGAATTAATTCACAATTAGGAATAAACATCTTAACAGTTAAATCTTTCCGCGTCCATTAAATAGATTAAAATACCCGAACTGAACCAACACATTTATTATTTTCTGTACAGCGAGTCCAGTCGCATAACATCAATTACAAATTAAGAAAATACAGTAGGCTTACTTTTCACATTTTCAATCTCTTTCAGCTCGCAATCTTCGCACTCTCATCGCACCCCCACACTATGACCGTTTTATCAAAGCCACAAGTAATCAATAACTCTCTTTCTGAATCAAACCATAAGTCTCTAACTTGCGCCTCATGTCCCTCTAATTTCCGCAATATTTTTTCCTCGACCACATCGACCACACTCACACTTTGTCCATCTCCATCGTTTACAAAGAAATATTTTCCGCTCGGATGCCAACAGTGTCTGGGAGTAAATAATTCGCCCACTGTAACTCCGTAGAAATTGCGCAGCTGTTCTGACGAACGAGTGCGGAAGAGTATTACACGGGATTTATCGGTAGATACGAGAATGTACGCACCGTTGTTATGTGGTGATGGTGATATGTCCATGGCAGTAAACGACACATGATCATCTCCATTCGCATTCATGTTGTATTTCTCTACGTTGAACGTGAGAAGGTCAATATAGTGCAGATAATTATTCTCCCGTATACTGACGATGAGCGTATGTCCGTCTGGAAGAAAAGCAATAGCCTCCAATGCCGATGGGAATTTCATTGTATGTATCTTTACGTATTTTATTCCTGTCGGCGACACATAGGTAGGTGATCGAGGAGTCTGGGGTGTAGCGGGAGTGACGGGAGTAGTGGGCGTGACAGGAGGCACCATTTTGAAAAAGTTCAATGTATGATCGTAACTAGCGGTCACAAACAAATTTCCATCGTTTGAAAACTTGGCCTTAACGATGGGTTTACTATGCAAATCTTTAAAGATCTGCACCTTGTCGTTTTTGACCACATCGATCAATGCCGCGGTTCCATCCAAAGAGGCTGTCAACATCAAACTTGGATATTGCGGATGGAAATCAACGCACAAAACGCCGCCACTGTGATGGCTAAAGATACTGATGGTGTCACCGGTGAGCAGAGACGTTATCTTTACTGTCTTGTCAGCCGAGCCAGTGACCAATGTCGGAACCTGAGACGAGATGTAGTCATTGTCAATAAAGTTGCTAATGGGAAGGATTTGCGTGCGGACGGTTAAAATGTTGCTGGTGTGAATTTTAGGTAATGTTTCGTAGAGGTGTTGCGGGTAGTGGTTTGCGCCGTGTGTTGAAAGGTCGTCTTCAATTTGTCTATTTGCGAGCAAATATCAATACGGAATTACGATCGTTAACATTAATTACTATAAATCTTGTACCGGTTCTCACGTCCCAAATCTCACCTTTTCAAGCTGAGCTTATTCATTTTGGATCCCAACTGACCAACAGCATATTCGTCAACCAACTTGGTCAGACTTTCGCGTGGTTTTCCCGCTAATTTGTCTTCTGCAATGATGCTTCCTGCTTCTTCTTTAAAGGCAGCGAGAGCTTTGCTATATCCCTTCTGCTCGAGAAATTGCAATACGAGAGCATGGGCAAGGCATTCTGATTTTGGTGACATGGTTGATTAGTTTATTGATTATATTAATATTAGTTGATAAACGGTCGTTATTAGTGTAAGCGAAGCCTGCGCTTTGAGAGATAGAGAGATATGAAAAGTAATTGTTTGTGTTGTTGCGTTCTTGGTTGTAGTTCTTCTTCTCTGCGCGAAAAAACCCCGACTTTAATAATTCTTGACGCTCGAGTAACGTCACACGATGTTATCATATGAGGACAATATTACGGAAAAATTTGGGGAAGATTAATATTGTTTTCTCAGCAACAATGTTGCTCTTTGACGTTGCCAAAAGAGTCAGCACTAAACCGAAACCACTATTCCTGCATGCCGCAAGAAATAATATGCGCTACACGTCAAAATGCATAGCCACTCAATCATCAAAGAATAATATTCAATTTTCATTGAGACAATACATTCGCACCGAACATGAGGTACCAAGCTACACAATAAACAATAGAAAGAATAGAGCGGACAATAAACTAAACTGCAGAGTAACCCATGCTAGCCAAAATATGTTACATTACCCCACAGAAAGAACCTTATCGGAATTCAATATTCCCTTTCTACGTCTCCATTCTCGATGCGCCACTATCACCTTTTGTCGTACATACATCCGACCTCACTATTACAAACCTCAAGCCCAGTCCCCCGTCCAAAAATTGCGAGCATCCTTACACCGTCTCGACAGTCGCTTCTCTCGCCACTCTCCTGATCGGATCATATATACCTTCATCGCATTGAACGTGTTGATATTTATATTATGGCGATACGCTATATACAAAGCTCGCTTTCAGGGTGATCCGCGCCTGTATTTATTTATGGTGAAGAATTTCATGCAAAGTAGAGCAAATTTCGAAGATGGGAGTTGGATATGGACTGCATTGACGAGTGCATTTAGTCATTCGGATTTGGGTCATTTAGGTGTTAACATGCTCGTATTATGGAGTTTAGGAACGCCGGTGAGTTTGAGATGGAGAATGTGAAAGGAGAGGGAAAGTGGGGACCAAATCGCAGAACTGGATGTAAAATAGAGGGACCATTGCTTGGTATGATCACAACTTGTGCGCGCAAATAAGATTTTAAAACGAATCCAATTATGAAAGGGTTCGCGCGTTTCGTTACTCTTACTAATTATCCTCCAATCTATCGATCCTCTCACTATACCCCAAAGACATTACAAGTCTTAGGACTACGGCGATTCCTAACAGTCTACTTCCTATCTGCGATAACTTCCTCACTTGGCTCACTAATACTAACACTCTCACCCAGGTCTCGTTCCTACAATAAAGTATCTCCATCACTTCCCGATACGTCTCGGGCACCCTTGAGAACTTCTCATGGCGCATCAGGTAGCTTAATGGGTATATCCACAGTATTCGCCCTAATGTTTCCGTGGGAGACGTTAATTGTTTTGTTTGTTCCTGCACCGGCGATAGTTGTTGTCGCGGGATATGTTGCTTACGACGCATACAGTGCGTGGAAGCAATCTGGTGGGAGGATTGATTCTGGGGCGCATTTGGGCGGGGCAGTGTTTGGCGTCGGGTATTATTTTTTAAGACTACGACCTTTTCTTAGAATGTAATAAAGTTGGTAGACGGGGGTACAGTAAACCTTTTTTATAAATGTAAAAACCTACGCGCTACAGTCTACAGTGATTGCTAAATTTAGAAACTTCGATTGCCAAATCTGATAGGGATGCAGGTAACGCTATTGTACGTAATTAAACTATGATGACGGTCAACATATATAAATATACAGTAATAGTAATAGTGACAGAAGTTTCAGTTGAACTTGTGCAACAGGAACCACAAATATGCTCTCGTTATTATTGTTACTTATCATTCAATCCTACGGCATGCTATGAATCAAATTAACATAAGGGCTTTCCACAAAAGACCTTAATCGTGACTGGTCGCATGCCCAGATTGACCTCACATATTAACGTCTATTTGGATCGAGCTACAATACTACTGTTGCGTAATACTGTAAAAAATTGTACTTTATAAGCTAGATATCCGGAATAACCAGGTCAAGTTGTTTGGAATCTATTCAAAACAGACTTTAATTAATACGATTTTTCAAGTAAACGATGTGTCAATATATCTTAACATAATAATACATACCAGTCGTTATTTCTTCACTAGAACTTTCAGCTCCAATCTTATTAGGACCTAGTCAATGATACATAAAGTGCCAAGTTAATAAAATGAACATTATGCTTAACCTTAGAATTTCGAACATAAGAAAATGCGTCCATTCCAAAGGGAAACCGTACCATCTACATGTATCCGGAGACTTTCGGGGCTAAATACTCTACTGAAATAAATTGCTTCGGGATGAGCTGGTTTCTCTGTTGACTCCGCACGATGGCTTTTTAATATGTTCCTAGCCCTCTCGAGAGCTGGAATGTACTCTCCCTTACGATCTCGATTCCATAGTTGTATATCGTCAGCAAGTTTGCCGGCGGATGGACGCTTGTCTGGGTCAGGATGGACGCATCTTTTGTAGACGATTTTATAGAATTCCGGCCTAGCACCTTGGCAAATGCTTTGAGCAAGAGACGTATCATGAGCTCTATGCTTGAATGGAGTGTCTTCCATTTCAAACATCCACATTATGAGCCCAAATGCATAAATATCTGCTTTCTGAAGCAAAGATTGTGCTTAAATAATGTAGATAGATATATGTATGGATGCATGAAAGCACAAAAAAAAAAAGCATAAAAAATACCTGTGTGTACGGTTTACCGCTAAGAACCTCTGGTGCAACATATGGCATCACTCCAAATACTTCCTTATATTTTTCGGCTTCATCTGCACGAATTGAAAGCCCATAATCCGTGAGATCCGCGTTATTTTCTCTACTCTCGACAAGGATATTCCCTGCATGGATATCCCGGTGTATCATACCGGTCCCGTGGAAATCTCTCAAGCTATTGACTAGCTTTGAAAGAATCTGTAACTTGCGACTCCATGAGAGGTCACGATTTTTGCGCAAGAAGGAAGTCAAATCCCCAAGATCCGCATAATCCATAACCAGAATATGTTTGCCCGTAGAATTCAAGCGCGATACACCCAAAATACACATCTTTCGCTCCATCGAATCCTGAAGTTTCGAGACCACTGCTCAACTACCATAAGAGAAAATAACAAGAAATTGAGAATTTATCACAGTATGCTGAAAGCTTGCATTTGAATGACTTACCTCTTGCAAAAAATCTCCTTCACTGTCATTTGTATCAAAAAGAAGTTTGACTGCAACTTTTCGAGGTTCTCTTCGCACAACATGTCTACCATCGTTCCCAAATTCTACTCCCACATAATTTCCATCTATCCAATCCGCAGCATAGATTTTCCGAACCCTCCCTTACCAATCTCAACTAATTATCGAGACGATCAGGTTGAATCCACTGAAGACAAACATAGTTGTGCTTGTTCGCCTTCTCTTGTGTATTTCGTATAATCGCATCATAATTGGTGTTACCAGTCGTCCAACCTTCTATCAATTCCTTGCGATCACATCATCGCACCAAAAGTCTTTGTTCAGAAAGATCTTTCCGCAGGTAGAACAAAAGCCAGGTGACACCAGTGCATATGCACCAGTGGCTTCAATACGCGATATTCCAAAAAGTGTCAGTTTTTTATCGTATCTGCTGCTGCTTTTGCAAAGTAAGGATGCTTCTTCCTGTAGCTAGATTTCGCCAAACATAAAAGAAAAGATTCAGAAGTTTATTATCAAATAAAGCGTCAATCAAAGCTATAACATCGTCGACGTTTAACTCATTTACCTCATGTAAAAATTTATCTTCGGATTGATCAGTCTTAGGGAAAATCTTAAGAAAGACCTTCATAGGCTCCCAGATCTCCTGCTTTTCACCAGACTCGTCATTATGGAATCCCTTAAAAGACCCATCAAGCCAATCTGCATAATATAGCGTTCCAAACTCCCCGCAGACAACTTGGACCAGATTGTGAATTCGATCAGGAGCAATCCATTTGAGGCAAGGATATGGAACCTCATTGTCAACGTCCTTTTGCGTTTCTCTAATCATTTCATCATATTTCTCATGACCGCTTGTCCATCCTTCCATCAATTCTTTTCTCTTGCATTGTCGACACCAATTCTCTGTTATGTCCTGATTCAAAAACCTCTATTCCAGGAAAACAGTCGTTGTATTATGCGAAAAATTTCTGTACCATCATTCAGCTGCAATTCAAAGATAATGTAAGTAAAGAAAATTTTTTACAAAAAAGGATGGCAATTATAGATACATACCTCTTGCAACATGATCTCGTTGGTATCGTCTTGCTTGGTTGCAGTAGGAACTTTGACTGATACTTTCATAGCTTTTCTGGGCTAACAACTTTTAATTCGCCATCAAACCCAGTCTTTATCCGAACCCATTCAGCCGTGTGAAGCTTGCCAAATCGCCAGTGCTGATCTCTACAAGGTTTTCAAGACGTGTAGATGGTATCCACCGAAGACTAGGGTAGTAATATGCTGATTCTTCCTTTGTACATGAATCCTTGATAATCTTATCGTAATCAGCGTTGCCGCTGGTCCAACTGTCACCCAATTTATTGTG